GCATTTGGGAGTCGTTCCTTACCTTTTCCAGCTCTTTTTGCTGGCCTGCTGGGGGAAAGAGGGTTTTCTTTTATCTTTATATGGTCCTCGACTTACAGCAGCTCATTTATGTTTGAAGTTACAATGGCACTGAAAAAAGCCACTCATGACAGTTTTTCACTTATGACCATTGCAGCATGCCCATAACCATGTGGTCAAAATTCCGATGCTTGGCAACTGACTCGTATTTATGACAGTTGCAGTGTCCCGTGATCATGTGATCCTCTTTTGCAACCTCGTGACAAGCAAAGCCAATGGGGGAGCCAGATTAATTAAATAACCATGTTACCTCGGAGTCCTTGTGGACAATCACTTAAATATGAGCCAGCAGTGTGCTGCAGTTGCCAAAAAGGCCAACACAGTGCTAGGCTGTATTAACAGAGGGATAGAATCAAGATCACGTGAAATGTTAATACCACTTTATAATGCCTTGGTAAGGCCACACTTGGAATACGGCATCCAGTTTTGGTCACCACGATGTAAAAAAGATGTTGAGACTCTAGAAAGAGTACAGAGAAGAGCAACAAAGATGATTAGGGGACTGGAGGCTAAAGCATGTAAGGAACGGTTGCTGGAATTGGATATGTTCTAGTCTAATGAAGAGAAGGACGAGGGGGGACATGATAGCAGTGTTCCAATATCTCAGGGGCTGCCCCAAAGAAGAGGGAGTCAAGCTGTTCTCCAAAGCACCTGAAGGCAGGACAAGAAGCAACAGATGGAAACTCATCAAGGAGAGAAGCAGCCTAGAACTAAGGAGAAACTTCCTGACAGTTAGAACAATTAACCAGTGAAACAACCTGCCTCCAGAAGCAGTGAATGCTCCAACACTGGAAGTTTTTAAGAAGAAACTGGACAGCCATTTGTCCGAAATGGTATAGGGTTTCCTGCCTGAGCAGGGGGTTGGACTAGATGACCTCCAAGGTCCCTTCCAACTTTACTACTACTACTACTACTACTACTACTACTACTACTACTACTACTACTACTACTATTATTATTATTATTATTATTATTATTATTATTATTATTATTATTATTATTCCTGAGAACGATTGGAATAAGACAGAAGAAGCATACCACGCACTGGTTCCCAAGGGTTCAATGAGGTTGTGGTGTCTTTGGTGTGTCACACTCTCAATGCACCCAGACAGAAAGGAGGCCCAACAGGTCAGGTGAGCTCTTTACCTATGAACAGTGCAGGCTCTGTAAATTACACGTATGCAAAAAGACGAAAGCACCTGCCTTTCCATGATGTAATATCAATGTGGTAGGATTGCAACAGAGAAAACATCAGCATGGTGGAATCCGATTTGCACAAGATGGAGTTTTGTGATACAGGTAGTCCTTGACTGACAATGATTCGTTTAATGTGAAGTGTGAATGTCACTTTACAAGGCCTTGGTAAGGCCACACTTGGAATAATGCATCCAGTTTTGGTCGTCATGATGTAAAAAAAGATTTTGAGACTCTGGAAAGGGTGCAGAGAAGAGCAACAAAGATGATCAGGGGACTGGAGGCTAAAACATATAAAGAACGGTTGCTGTAGTTGGGTATGTCTAGTATAATGAAGAGAAGGACGAGGGGGGACATGATAGCAGCCTTCCAATATTTCAGGGGCTGCCACAAAGAAGAGGGAGTCAAGCTATTCTCCAAAGCGCCTGAAGGCAGGACAAGAAGCAAAGGATGGAAACTAACCAAAGAGAGAAGCAACCTAGAACTAAGGAGAAACTTCCTGTCAGTTAGAACAATTAACCAGTGGAACAACCTGCCTCCAAAAGCGGTGAATGCTCCAACACTGGAAGTTTTTAAGAAGAGACTGGATAGACATTTGTCTGAAATGGTATACGGTTTCCTGCCTGAGCAGGGGATTGAACTAGATGACCTTCAAGGTCCCTTCCAGCTATTCTATTCTATTCTATTCTATTCTATTCTATTCTATTCTATTCTATTCTATTCTATTCTATTCTATTCTATTCCCCTTTCAAAGTTGCAACAGAACTGAAAAAAGTAACCTACGACTGGTCCTTGCACTTATGACAGTCTAAGCACCCCCAAAGTCATGTGATCAAAATTTGGGAGCTTGGCATATATTTACGATGGTTGCAGCATCCTGGATTCAGGTGATCACCGTTTGCGACCTTCCCAGCCAGCTTCTGACAAGCAGAGCCAATGAGAGAATTCACTTGTCAGCTATGTGATTCGCTTAACAACTGCAGTTAAATGATTCACTTAACAACTATTGGCTGAAGAACCATGGCCAAAAAGGACATAAAATTGGGCTTGAGTCACCTAAAAACCCACTGTTGTTTAGCAAGGGAAATACTTGTCCCAATGTTGGTCATCAATCATCAGTACCTGTATATATCTTGAGCTTACTTATTTGAAAAGAAAAAAAAAGCACTGCTGTTTGTAGAAAAAGCATTCTGCCAGGTTATCTACCATCTTAGACTGAGCATAGAAAGATCTGAAATCTAAGCCTTCGTAAAGAAAAGAAAAACCCCAGATTATAAAAGAGTGACGCAGTTTTTTCCTGCTTCTTTTTCCTGCTTTGATTTTTTTTAAAAAAAGAGTTTCAGAACACAGAAACATTTTCTGGGCGTCTCTCGCTAATATATGCAACAGTACAAATTGCCCATGAATGTAATTAAAAAGCACACGCTACTGGTATTTAAAATGCAAATTCCCCCACTGTAAGCTCTTTTAAATAAACTTTCCATACAGGCATTGGGGTTTTTTTTTTCCTTTAAGTGAACTTTTCTGCTGAAATCTAATGGAAGCCAAATGCTGAAATTCACTTCTCAAGAATGGATCTGGAGTTCTTTCACATTCAAAATAGGAGGTATTTTCTAATGGAGCCGGCATAGGATTCTTACTAGATCTCATGCCACAAAACCCACAGAAATTGAATTATTCTGCTTGGCTACGACTGGGAAAATGTTTGCTAATACAGATAGTAAGATAGTAAGTCAAAATGTTACTAACAACTTCTGCAGTGATTCACTTAATAGCTGTGACAAGAAAGGTTGTGAATTGAAGCAAAAGTCATTTAACAACTGTCTTGCTTAGCAAGAGAAATTTGGACTCCGTTGTGATCATAAGTCAAGGACTGCCTGTGTTTGGATTGGTACTACAAACAGTTTGAAGTTGTAGAGCAAAACATGAGGTGGATAGAGATGTTTTCTCTAAAAATGTCAATGCTATCTTCAGTGCAAAGCACAAAAATAAAGTAACAAAAGAGATATATTACCTCATCCTACCACGTTTCACACATGGTTAGAATCCCAAGGATCGTGCCCCCCCCAGTTTTCTTGTCTGAAGTCAAATATCCCTTTCTCAGCTATAGGAACCACAATAAGCTAATAATTCAGACTCCCCCCCCCCCCGGTAACAAATTCTAAACCCAGCAACTTTAATGACATTAGGAACCTAGGGGCACAATTAAAAGCTTTCTTGAAATTTTCCATCATACTTGAAGGCAAGAAAATTAGTTGGGTGATTTCACTGAAATTATCCAGGAAATGGAGAAATTTTCCAACAATTTTTTGAGGAGAATTTTCCCCTCACGAGGAAGCACAACGCTGCTACAGATAACCCTCCATCCAAGGCCTTCTCTCCTGATGTCCCTTCAGATGAAATGGAATCTTCCTTCACCACCACCACTACCATCATCCACGGCAGGAGGCCTTAATTGTTCTTTGCAAAGACCTGGAATGTGTGGGAAAATTACTATACATAATTTCTGGCTTGGTCGCACCAAGCAGACTGCCTCTTCTGATGCATTGAAAAAGTTTAAGGCTGGAATAACCAAGGATCAGCCACTGGGATTTCTCAACTGCTCACTGGATTGTTTCCAGCAGCTCTGGAAACATTGTGCTTCCTCGTGAGGGGAAATTTTTCCTCAAGAATTTGCTGATGCGGCCCTGGCACTTTGTGATAAATAAGTGGGTTTTGGGTTGCGGTTTGGGCACTCGGTCTCTAAAAGGTTCGCCATCACTGTTCTAACCACACGAGCCACTGTGGTCCCAGAATAGAGATGAAAAGTAAGACACCAGGTGATCCATCCTCTATTCTCCCTCAAGCATTTGGTGACAGGGTCTGACGTATCGCACAGAACAACCCTTTTATAAAAACCTCTTGGAACAGCAATTTAGACAATTCCATCCTCCAGTTCCAATTCCAGTTCCAATATCTCAGAGGCTGCCACAAAGAAGAGGGTGTCAAGCTATTTTCCAAGGCGCCTGAAGGCAGGACAAGAAGCAACGGATGGAAATTAACCAAGGAGAGAAGCAACCTAGAACTAAGGAGAAACTTCCTGACAGTTAGAACAATTAATCGTTGGAACAACCTGCCTCCAGAAGCAGTGAATGCTCCAACACTGGAGGTTTTTAAGAAGAGACTAGACAGCCATTTGTCCAAAATGGTATAGGGTTTCCTGCCTGAGCAGGGGATTGGACTAGATGACCTCCAAGGTCCCTTCCAACTTTACTATTATTATTATTATTATTATTATTATTATTATTATTATTATTATTATTATTATTATTATTATTATTATTATTATTATTATTATTATCCTTTATAAATTCAGCGGTCCTGAAATTCGAAACGCTCAACTATGATTTATTGGCATCAATTCCTTTTCTTTTAAAGATTTTCCCACCTTGCGCCTGAGAATGCCGGTGCTCCAAAAAAACAAAAAAAATCGGGGAAAAAATCTAGCTTTAGAATGATACTCCAGACATTCTTCCACTGACTTTGGATTATCTTAAATGTTCTTGATTCTGGCAGGCACATAAGCAGTACGGCAGAAGTCTCAGAGACTGGGGCGTGGCGAGCGTTTTGCTTCTGCCTGTTGAGGTGCAGCTGAAAATAAATAAATAAGCCGCCAGACCAGAAAAACTGCTCTGACACCAAGGAATAGTTGCAGGAAGTTCTTCTTTATCAGAAGAAATGCTTGCTTCAGAAGGATGGAGGGGTTCCAGCTGCTTAGCTCATTGATCTGGCAGCAGGCGCTCCTCTGAGGATTAATCACATCCAAAGGTGTTATTCTCCCCGTGGGCTACATGGGAACGGAGATGCCAGGTTAATTTCTCTACCTGGTGGAAAGGAATTGTCCATGTTGCCGGCCAGGGAGATTTGAAAACTTCTGGAGAGTAACCTAGCCCATCTCACGGGAAATTGCTTGTGTCTGGCTAATCTCATTACACTATTAATGAAGAAGCTTTTCATTTACTGGGCCTTGTGCTCTTTAGCAGGTAAGCAATCCGCTTGAGTTTGTTTTTTTCATAAATACCTTTTAAAAAAAGATCCTGGGTTTTTTGCCTCTGGGTTTTTGAAGAACTGCAGAGCAGAGCTGCACAACCTCCTGGAAATAAACTAGTGGGCAAGCTGAACGTCTTTCAATATAAAAATGGTATATAGGTTGGACTAGAAGACCTGCAAGGTTCCTTCTTTCTGTTATTCTGTTAAACGTGAAAATAAAGGCAGTGATGGGAAATCAAATGCCTTTCCTTATGCATCCCACGAAAAGATGGAATATAAATACAATAAGTATATTGCTTTGTAATCTGATGTATTTTACTATTTGTATGTCTACTGTATTGGTTAGCCACCTAGAGTTGTGTTACATACTGTGGATGGCGGTATAATATTTTTAACAGATAAAATCAAGTGTCTCTTGGATAGGATCTGAACCGTATCATGTTTGTTTTGATCTTGGATGTAATTGGATTTATTTCCTGCCCTTGTGAAGCAGACAGTGCTTACATTCTGTGAAGTACCAAAACATCACAGTCTTAAGGGGGAATTGTCCTTGACCTGAACTTAAAGGAATGCTCAACTGTTTTGAGAAAAAAAATGCAATGGGAAATAAATATTTCTTGGTAGACCACGTCATAAAGTTAAGGTTACAGAGGTAGACTGTCCTGAAGCCTGCAATTTTATTTTGGAAGCTTTTGATTTGAATCTCAGTATGACATCAATATTCCTAGGTGTCTTTGGGTAAACGCCTCACCCTTTGTTTTAACTTTACATGGATAGTAATCTCAGTTTCAGTGGCTTCTAAAGGTTACTAGAATATCTATATGGAAAGACATAAAATAACTTCCCATCATTTGGTGTTCTCGGTGGTGTGTTGGCCATACTAGTTGAGAACTGTGATGCTGAAATCCAGAAGGTTGAGTGGGTTTTCTTTATGTAGAGAGCAAGCACGAGATTGCAGGAAATGCAATGAATTTCAGATCAGCAATGAATTCATTCCAGAGATAAATGCTAGCTTCTAGAATCACAGAATAAATTGCTAAGCATTGGAGAGTCAATTGTATACAGCTTGGGAATCTCTTTTTTATTTTCTTGTTTTTCCCCTTGGTTAAATGTTTTCATTATCTACAAATGTAACTACAAACGAAGGACAATTATACTCAAAGGAGACCTGCGTTCATATTTTCATCCAATTATGAAACTCACCAGGTGACCCTGACCCAGGGAATATTTAATGGGAGTTAATCATTGCTACCCCAGGAGTTCAGATACCCAACCTCCATGTTTATACGCAGAACAACCACCGATTGCGAAATGGGGATTGCCCAACTCACCTAGTGAGGATCGATGGCTGAGTTTCCCATGTAGAGGGAAATAGTATTTAAGTACAGATAGTCCTCAACTTATGACTACAATTGAGCCTAAAATTCCCACTGCTTAGCAAGATAGTCGTTAAGTGAGTTTTCCCTCATTTTATGGCTTTTCTTGCCACAGTGGTTAAGTGAATCACTGCAGTTGTTAAATTAGGAACACCATTGACTTTGCTTGCTAGAAGGTCGCAAAAAAGGGATCACATGACCCCGGGACACTGCAACCGTCATAAATACATGCCAGTTGCCAAGCATTCGAAGTTTGATCATGTGACCCTGGGGATGCTGCAATAGTTGTAAGTGTGACAATTGGCCATAAGTGATGGCACTGACATTGCACAAAAGTGCAGTGGCGCTGATAAAAATTGCACTATTGCAGGTTCACATGTAATCTTCCTAGCTAACAAGCTAGGAAGATTACATGTGAACCTGCAAGTCAATGGGGGAAGCCAGATTCACTTAACAACCGCATGATTCACTTAAAAACCATGGTAAAAAAAGGTCACAAAATAGGACAACTGTCTTGCTTAACAGAATAATTTTTGAGCTCCGTTGTGATCAAGGATTACCCATATCTTCTCTTCATTCCTCCTGCAGTATGAGTGTAATTTAATCTTTGTATGGAAAAATAATTCACACGGGCTCTCCCCATATGGGTTGGGATGAAGGATTTAAGGTCACTATACTTCTCAGATAATGTAAGCATTGAGTCTGGGATACAGTTTAGTTCCTGCATTCCATTCTAGGCAGTGCATAAATCCTAGCCTTGTTTGTTCCGTTTTACAATTCAGAGGGTAGTGATCCAGTTTCTAAGCAATGCATTTCTTTGTTTGTTGATCACTATCTTGGTGACTGTAAAAAACTGATCTTTTACTGTCTTTCCACCCCACCATAGAAATTGACAGGGCACTGCAATCTGTTTTCTGTTTACCTCTATCCCATGGAAATTGTCCCATTATCCCGACAGTTTTCTCATGTTTTGTGTCCTATCGGTTTAATACTTTCCTTGCAATTTTTGTTTTCATGTATTTTTTTTCTACCTATCCCCTTTTATAACTATTTGTTGTTGTTTCCCTGAGAGCTCTGCTCCCCTCTCTCTATCTTTCTGGTAAGCTGGCTGTATCAAACTTCAAGAAATATCCTATCTTAAATGTAACTAAATAAGCCATTTTATCAAGAGGACCTCAAATTATCTTCAAAAGTCACAAATTGGGAACCTCCATCTTGGTAGACGTTTTCTTCTTGACACCCAGGAAAGGCTAGAGGCTAAAAGCCGTGCAAAGAGTTTTAGAAATAGGAATCAAACAAACACACATTTAACCTAGTTATATATGTTCTGGTCATATGCTAACCCAAGGATCTGTGTTTTCCCTACATGCTAAGCTCCAATGGTGCCAATCGGGTTAACCTTAAAGAAGCTTTGTGTTGGGGAGGGAGGCTTTGAGTAATGATTTCAGTAACTAGGACAGTGGTGGCGAACCTATGGCACGCATGCCAGAGGTGGCACTCGGAGCCCTCTCTGTTGGCACATGCACCACTGCCACCAGCAGCAGGTCCATCAGGCCGCCACCGCCACCCGGAGTGGCAGCCCCGCCCAGCACAAAGGAGGCGAAGCGGCCGACTAACAAGCTGGAGTAGAGGTGGTAGAGCAGAGGTCACCAACCATTGTCGATTGGTGGACTGGAAGAAAAGGGAGGGGGAAGCATTTTACATGCGTGCATGCGCACACGGGGCCACGAGCACGCACGTGCTGCAAATGGAGCGGGGCTAGTGCCTGCGTGATACTCACTAGCCCTGCCCTGTTCTTGCGTGGTGCAGCGCCTTGTATCTGCACCCTACGGCGTGGCGGCAGCCGTTTTTGCGCCTTGCAGCATGGTGGCCCATTTTTGTGCCCCTGGTTTTTGCGTGCCAGAGGCGGCACTCAGAGGCGCCTCCGTGCCCCCCCCCGAGGGCACCACAATGCTGACGCGGCCCTGGCACTTTGCAATAAATAAGTGGGTTTGGGGTTGCGGTTTGGGCACTCGGTCTCTAAAAGGTTCGCCATCACTGGACTAGGAGACTCTTTGATTAATGTTTCTAGTTCTTTGAAGTAACATAGGAGATTCTCTATGTGGAATGTGGATTCTGATAAGAACTGGTTCAAAGGGATTGTGCAAAGAGTTGAACCTTAGTCACTTGCAAACTCATTGTAATCCAAAAACTACGCCCACTTAATGAGAGGATGATCATTAACAAGATCATGCTAAGAAATTATTGTATGTTATGAAATGTTACATGGTACATATAAAATAACTGATCTTGCTAGACCAGGGGTAGACAACCTTGGCTCTTTTATGACTCGTGGGCTTCAACTCCCAGAATTCCTGAGCCAGCCATGCTGAGGGGAAAGGGGAAGTTTCCAAGCTGAGCCATGCTGGCTCAGGAATTCTGGGAGTTGAAGTCCACAAGTCATAAAAGAGCCGAGGTTGCCTACCCCTGGTCTAGACCATACAGTAGATGAGTCAAATGATGCTAAAAAACCAAAGAATGCATTCCAAACCCAATATGTTTGATCCGTATATAAAGGGATTCCCTACCTTTCTAAGGGGCCCCTCGTATCCATGGGGTGCCACTCCTCACTTACACATAAATAAAGAGGGTCAATGCACACATAAATAAATTGGGCAATGCACACGACGCTAACAAATTTTTGCTGACTAACAGTTTGTCTTCTAATTGTCCTGGTTGGGTGTGTGTTTTGTGAAACCACCTCCTAGTAAGAAAGGTCAAGGGATCTGGAGTTTCTTAACTTCCTTCTTAATCTAGTTTAACAAAGAGAAGGACGAGGGGGGACATGATAGCAGTGTTCCAATATCTCAGGGGCTGCCCCAAAGAAGGGGGAAGTCAAGCTATTCTCCAAAGCGCCTGAGGGCAGGACAAGAAGCAACAGATGGAAACTAATCAAGGAGAGAAGCAACCTGGAACTAAGGAGAAACTTCCTGACAGTTAGAACAATTAACCAGTGGAACAACCTGCCTCCAGAAGCGGTGAATTCTCCAACACTGGAAGTTTTTAAGCAGAGACTGGACAGCCACTTGTCTGGAATGGTATATAGGGTTTCCTGCCTGAGCAGGGGGTTGGACTAGATGACCTCCAAGGTCCCTTCCAACTTTATCATTATCATTATTATTATTATTATTACCCATTGTGGTAGAGTTCAGATAAGAGAAAGCAGTGGCTTTTACGGAAGCAAAGAATTATAACTGAATTTTCCACCGAAGCTAATCTTGAATTCTTGTTCATGCTTCTTTGCAGGAAATTCACTGGGAAAAAGACCACCAGTCATTCAAGAAGCAACTTTTTGGTCCACCAACTTTGAAAATATCTTCACGTGGAAGATTAAAGGGGAGACACCCCCAGGCACCCTATACGATGTTCAGTATAAGACGTAAGGATGCTCTGCTTTTTCATAAAAATTGGTGTCCTGTATTGTATGACCTGAATCCATGGATATTTCAAGTAGGGTACTGTAAACAGTGGTATCTGTTGTGTCATCAGATGAAGAAACAGTAGGTTATGTGCAACTCCAAGAGGAACTTTTTAAAATTAAACTCAATCCTTACCCCTGTATCAACTTCAATGCATCACACAGTATCATGAAATGTAAACTCACATGTTAATAGTTACCGATAAACATACAATATTGCATTGTTAAGTGGATTTTTAAAAGAGAAGAAAAATGTATTAATGTATTAATATATATAATCAGATAGGACATTCAGGAAATTTAAACATATTAAAAACCCCTTTCCTTATATCATTGTTGAAAATGAAAGATCAAAATTTCCCCAAACAATCCATTGCTAAAAATCAGTAGACAATGACCTTAAAGTCTTTCTAATGATTAACTTTCCTCTTTTCTCAGGCACTGTGCCCTTGCAACACATTTGGTTCTTGAATTATGCCAATTACCCCTATTGTGTCCTGCTCTGACTTAACAATTCACTAAATCCTAAACCCGTGGTAGCGAACCTATGGCACGCGTGCCACAAGTGGCACGCAGAGCCCTCTCTGTGGGCACGCACGCCATTGCCCCAGTCCTAGGCCTTCAGCTGGGTTTTATGAAACCTTTTCACTTTAGGCCTCTGCCACCATGTGCAAAAAAAAAAGGTTCAATCAATCAATCAATTTCAACTTCTCGCGGGGAAAAAAAAGATCTCGCAAAGTTGGAATTGATTGATTGAACTTTTTAGTCCCACCCAGTCTGCCGTTACCACCGCAGCCATGCCCACCCAATTGGCCACACCTACCCTATGGGCCATGCCCACCCAATAGGCCACACCCATCCAATGGGCCACGCCTACCTGGCACCCGACGATACATAATGTTAATTCATTATACCCAAAGGATGGGAGCATATTTACCCATTCATCCAAGATGGCTAGCTACAGAAAGAGAGACAGACACATGCACGCACAAAACTAACCAAGAAATTAGTTTGGTATGAATGTACGTGTGTTGAGTGAACTCATCTGGAAAATAAATCTTGTAACCTATTAAATTGATTATATCCGTGCAAACTTAAAAATAGTTATACCTTCCACAAGACGTGGTGAGGTGATGGTGACACTTATGGGTCAAGCCACCAAGGGGTTGCACCTTCTGGCCCATGGTTCAGTTTTGGTAAATGCAGGATTGGGAGTCACCTACCTTGACCCATATCTACTTTGTCTTTTAATCATCTTGGATGCCATCTCTCTTGGTTCCTGGTCTACACCTGTATGTCATATGCAAAGTCTGTTGTGAGTAATCATCTGGTCTGGTCTGGTCACAGGTACGGCGACCTGACCTGGCAGAGTAAACCCGAGTGCCAAAATACCACCCAGAACATCTGCAATCTCACTCACGAGACTGAGAATTTCACCGAACGCTATCATGCTCAAGTGAGAGCTGTGGTCCCCAATTGTTGCGTCTCCGACTGGTTCGTATCCTCGAGATTCTGTCCTCGTGAAGACAGTAAGTGCTTCTCGTGAACTGTGCTGTAAACAGGGTGAATGCTGGATCTCCAGCCTGTTTGTTCATGACATGGGCCTTGCTAAGAGTGCCATCCTCTCCTCCGAAGGTCACCTCCCAGCAAACCCCTCCAGGACAGGCAGAATCGGCATTTTTTCTGAGTCAGTTTCCATCTGTCAAGTAGCTGTTTATTGCTTTCGTTTTAACTTTTTTTTTTAATTACCCCTCATGATACCTTTGTTTTATTGACCAGCTAGGGTGGATTTTAATGCTGGAAATTGCCAGCTGATTTGAATTTCCTCCAAAAGGCAGGGCACGTCGACCTATTCGCTTCCATAGTTATTTACATTACTTGTTATGTTCTTCGTCTTTGTCTTCAAAAACATTTGTTCTCGTCCTGACAGGTAACCGAGAACCATAAATTGACTTCATCAAGTACTCATACTTTTCTCCTAAACAAAGTAATGTACAACGTAAAACGGAAATAACTCCTTCTTATTAAAACCCCCCCTTTTACCAGATAGGAATTATAGGAAATTAGGCTCCTAGAGACTTGCTGATGACTTCTGAAATGTTTTGAACCTGTGCTAATCCTTCACTAATTTTCTTTACTGTCTGCCATAAAGTAGACCTTCTTTGGCCTCAATGGATAAAAGAGAAGCACATTGGAGTAACACTTAACACAATCAGTTATAAACCCAGCAGCTGCATTCTCACAACAGGCTAAGTCGAGTTTTTGCTTAGCCTATCCTGCTGGGTGAACTCAGGTCATTTAACTCAGTTATACTTCAGTACATTGGGCGATTCAAGAGTGTGATGGCTGGTTTAGTGGGTTGTGTGAATGGAGCCATCTTCTGGGTTGGCCCAATGAACCACTCACTTGGCAAATGGGCTGGATTTGCACAACCTACTAAACTATGGAGATAAAATAACCACGATGAACCTTAAATGTAAAGGCTGAAGGGGATCAGCACTGTTTTGAGTAGATGGAACCATTGTGAAAACAGAATAGATGGCTTCCAATCTCAAAAATGGAAAAGAATGACAGACAGGCAGAAGGATGGACAGGCAGACAAGCAGGCAGACAGATAGACAGACAGGCAGATGTGGTTCACTGGATGTTTGACATTTAAATTCAGTTTAGAATACGGTACATGAATGTTACCTCCAGTGATGTACAGGAAGGGGTTGCCAAAAAAGTCAAGATGGTGATCACGCAATGAAATCCCCTCTTTTTGTGTATGTGCTGACTTCACACACACATACAAAGGGGCAGGGCTTCACTTTTGTGTTGCAACCACTCCTTGACTTCTTTTTATCACTCCCTGTAGATGCTACTGATTACCAGTAGAACTAAACTTGTGAAGGACACCCTGTAAACAACTTTTGTAGCTCACAGATGAATTGTGGGCTACTTACAGTTCTTTGATGTTGTTGTTTTTTTCTTGCAGATGTTTCATGGCCCAACTAAGTTACCTCTTCAGTGCTAGAAAGGAGTGGGGTTTGCTCTCTGTTAACCCTATTTCCTTCTAGCACTGAAGAGGTTACCTAGATGGGTCATAAAACGTCTGCAAGAAAACAACTAAAACACTTGACTATTTATCATTAGTCTGAAACTAATCCTCTCTCTCTCTCTCTCTCTCTCTCTCTCTCTCTCTCTCTCTCTCTCTCTCTCTCTC